AAAAAGTGACAGACACGTGATTTATTTGATATATAGCATAAAGGCACAAGGTGGAAGAAGGGCAGGAACAATGACTGTAGCAAAAAGCCAAGGACGTGAAACTTGTTGAGCAGGAGGCAGAATATGTATCAAAGGACTACAAACAGGGGAAGAAAGAAAGATGTATCAAAGTTAAATGTGTCATGCTATTTGGCTGCAGATGTTTTGGTAATAAAATCTTATTAACCCGTGAACTTGGTACCATGTCTACAATTGGCACATCAGTGTGACAAGAAAAATAGAAAGTGCCTGGGTAACCAGTGTCTGTAAAGCTGGATTAAGAATATATAGGGATTTCTGACTTGAAGCACAGAAAAGTGGTTGTTGTCTACATTAACTACTGTGCTAACTACTGTGGGTACTAAGCAGGTTAATTTTAAAGAAAAAAATGTATGCTTTTCCTCAGGACAAACAAAACTGCCTGTTATATATGGGTGTCCAATTAAGTGGGTGTCTGTAGATCATAGAGTACTGGGTTATCACTGCATTAATAAATTATTGATTGCAACTAACTTTATGTATTGAAAAACTAAATGGTTCAGTACATCACTAGGTTGCACGATTCTGCTGATAACACAATGTGCCATAAATTCACTGCCTCTAGGAAGAAGTGTTACACATTGGAAATTATGTTCCTCATAGAGGCCCATCCCTGATTGTGCTCTGTGGGTTTTTCTTGCTGGGTTTTTCCATTGTAAAATATTATTAGAAACTAGCATTTTTAAGAGTTAAAACCCCAGTCATTGTTGAGCAGAGACATGTTCATAAATTTCAAGCCGCTGAAAAGTACCTTTCTCCTGCTGAGCGTGATTGCACATGCTGAATCCACCACTAAGAGTTTGCAGATCATGATATTACACTGTAGGTTCCTGTAATGCCTTCATTTTGTCTAGCATGTAATTGAAATGTGCCAGAGACCACATCATCAGCTGATATAATTCGTTTTAAGAAACCGTAGTTCATGGAGTAGTCTTCAGATTTAATCAAGAACCTTCATCAAAAAAGACTATTCGGCATTGTTGCAAATGCTACATAGCTTTGCTGGTTTGAAAATGCAGAAATCTAGGACGATTTACTTTTTGAGGCTTACCACGGATCAGACTGATGGTATCAAAACGGACCAATGATAAATTTAGATGCTGGAAGATTCTTATTCCAACAAAGATACTATTCATATGAAAATGTATATTACAATGGAACCTCTATAACTAAGTCCTCGGTCTAACAAACTATTTGTTTTTACTCCAGTAATAGTAAAATATAAGGCAATATGAAAAAGAACCTCGATAAAAGTTGACAAACCTCGTTATAATAAACATATTTTGCTAGTCCCTTGGCCCTTCGTTATATGAAGGTTCCACTGTACTTAATTTTATTTATTTATTTTTCAAAAAGTGGGGAAGCCCCTTTGCCCTGCGTGGGCCCTGCCCTAGCTTGGCTCAGGTTATATAATACCCCCAAAATAGACTATGCTAAATCAGGCAACAAAGAACAATAAAATTGCAGCCTTTAAACAGTATTACAGCCCTTGGCTTGTTTATTATAATCACTGGTATGACTGAAAAATAATGGATTTGTATATTGCACAAGGTACGTAAGACCTAAACTTGTCCTCCAAGTTCTTAGCTGGGGCCTCACATTTATCTTGTGATCAACAAGTGTGCAGATCAATTGTTACAGTAGGGTGGACAGTGCCTTTGTATGTGGTAAGGGGCCATGAAGCTTCCTCATTTATAGGAATAACAATAGTCTATCCGATGTTAAAAGATACACTAAGGTTTTTTTGAAGTAGCAAGGCTTTGCTCTAAGAAAAATTGAAAGGAGCCCAGTGCTCCGGACCCGTGAAATCCTGGGTGCCCAGCACATGATTTCTATGAAAAAATTTCCTAGTTGCCCCGGAACAATAGTTAAGCACCACGGGCCAACTGGGTGCTGGTAGAGCACAACATTGAGTAGTGAAACATAAAGCAGCAGTGATGAGCAGGGGCCATGAAACTACCTCATACGTGTACAAAACCCTCAGTTGCAGTAAATATTTCAGTGACCAAGCCTTGGTGATTATTCATTTTTAACTTGCAATCTGTCAGTCACATCACTTCAGTGATTCAGTGCATGAGTGCCCCTGTGTTGGAGTTTACATCACAAATTATGATATACTATAATTATAATTATTATAAGTATTCAATGCAAGATTGCAAAAACTTTTCGTTATTCACTCAAAAGAATAACAATACACAACATTCAAGATAGGATCACAATTTTATTTTAAAGACCACATCAGTAGATGGTAATAATTCTTGCTGTATTTTACAAAATTGCAAAAACAGTTTTTGCAATAAACTTGTGTCGGAGCTCTCTTGCTTTAGCTTGTGGTTTGAACTGACAATGTGTCTGTGCAGTTTAAATCAGGTTCTGAGTTTTGGAAAGACTAAAATTGAAAAAAAGCATACCTTTAATTTGTTTAGTGAGGGTTATGGCGACCAGAATGTTGGAAATACTAAGGAATTTACTGTATATTAAAATATCATACCATTCAGATTGCACCATGACCCTGATAGATTTTAATACTTTATGATAAAAATTTACAAATAGAGCTTTAAAGCTTTTAATAAAAGCTCAAAGGAATGTTAATAGTGGTAACAGAAAAAAATAGTACACTACAAGAGCAAGGTGTGAGCGATAATAGTGTTTACAAAACTAGAGGGTTCTCTTTGATCTGTTGCCTTAGGGCAAATCTTTTTGAAAGTTTCCTAAAAGTTTCGTTGTCTTCGCGTTCCAGTCGAAGAAAGGTCTAAGGAAAAATTTATCTTCGATAACTTCGCCGGTAGTAAAAGCAAAAATCACCACCGGCGATATAAATAAACTTAGCGTTGGGGACATTCACTGCAAGTTTTGCGAACAGTAAACTTACCTCCATGCGCTCCCTCTTTAAGCGAAGATTTCTTTTCGGATTCAAGATCTGTCGATTGATCTTTCTTCCATATGCTAGCAAACGACCCAAGTTTAATTTTCCGCCACTGGTTTGCGTTGAAAGCCCCGTAAATGCTATTGCAGCACTCTTCGAAGTTGTCAAACCGAGAAAACAGCGAAACTGTCAGCTGCAAACAAACCTATTCCTAGAATCTCACATTCAGTTGGTCAGACTCGCGTGCAGCTCAATTCTATCGATTGAAGCGGTTGCTGCACACAGACGGAGCCTAATGTAGTAAGATTGAAAGAGTCTTCCTAAACAAGAACGCAACGAAGTAAGAGAAAAGGGAACATTGTTAAGCAGGGTTCTTGGAAGAAAATTGTCATGCTGTGTGTACTGCGTTAAGTAAATGACGTCACAAAGCAATTGCCTTGTGGTCTTGGTAACCAGGCCACAGGAACATAGCGTTTTAATGGCGGACGAAAATTAATGGTTTTTGAGCGCCAAAAAATACCACTTTCCTTAATCGTATGAAGCTATAACTTGCACACCATGTACTTCAAGTACTAAACTGCCAATCTCGCGAAACAAAATGGTAGTCAAAGATTTGATTGTAGTAGCACTTTAAATTCATGAAGTTGATAGTTCGCTGCATGCAAACTTGTGTCCATTTTAGTAGGGAATAAAAGAATCACAGGGTATCCAGTTTTTAGCTGACCGTTTCTTAAAATGCGGTAACAATAAGTAAAAAAATCCATTATGAGCAAGAACTCCTCATTAAAATCCATTATGAGCAAGACTAAAGTAATTCACAGTCAGCGACAACCCAGAAACCTCAAACGAATGTTAACTAACTCCTATTTCTCCAGGCTAAAGGACACTGATCCGGAAGTTAAAATTTGTGGAACAAAACGGTGCGGAACATGCCCCTATTTAAAACAGGGTAAAGAATTTACCTTCTATGCCACGAATGAAACATTTCGGATAAAACACTCGATGAACTGCACCTCAACGAACTTGATTTACGTAATAACATGTGCAGGATGTGGACATAATTATATAGGAGAAACGGATGATGTCCTGAGAAATAGAGTGACAGTTCATAAACAACAAATCAGAGACCCGCACACACGTATGCTGGGAGTCAGTAAGCATTTCGATGAATGTGCGGCGGGATTGACTCATCAGTTTACTATCTTTCCGTTTTACAAGAATCTCAGCCCCTCCGAGGGGATGAGAAAAAACAAAGAGAGGTTTCTTATTTTGAAATATAAACCCGTTCTTAATGATTTGAAATTACGCTAATTGCTCGCGCGTGCTACGAATTAGAAGAGGCATTATAATCGTAATTACAATTACGTCTGTGACGTAATAAGTTAATAAAAACACTTTGCTATGCCTGAAGAGCCGCTACAGCGGTGAAACGCGTAGCGCAAAAGCAAAGAAGACTTTCGTTTTTCATTGTTTTTAGTATCTTCATTCGACACAGAAGTTTACTTTATATATATATATATATATATATATATATTTCATTGTTTTTAGTATCTTCATTCTACACAGAAGTTTACTTTATATATATATATATATATATATATATATATATATATATATATATATATATATATATATATATATATATATATATATATATATGACACAAATGACCTGAAACCAGTGAAAGAAAGAAATAAATGAACACAAGTGAAACTCTAAAAATTGCCTTGAACGGGATTTGAACCCGCGTCCTCGACTTTCTAGTGCCGATGTCTTAACCACTACACCACCAAGACAACCACGCTAACGCACAGTCGAATTGAAGGCTTTATGGCTCACGGGACTCCCCAAATAGTTTTTTAGAGTTCACAGAGGCCACTGGAAGGTGCTAACACCTTTTTATACTATGCATAACACAAAGATATATACACATATATATATATAAACAAATCCAGGTAATTCACCGTTGGATCCAGAACAGTGCTCAACAATTAAGGAGCGGTTTAATAGTAAATAGACTACTCAATATGAGCACATATGGATTTCCGCCGGGCACTCAGTTGCCGCCAGCTGGGGTGTGAAACTCGATTGGCTCCGTGTGGATGCCGTCTGGCAGCACCCAACGCTTGTCGTAGTACGCGGAAAGACCCAGCTTGCGCTGCTCGTACGTGTACATGGCACCGTTGCGCATTCCGAAGCCCCTGTTGGTGGCAATGTCCTTGCGCCCCTCGAGGGCACTTTCGTACCTTTCCCAGTGCAGCTCGTTCTGCTTCTTGTTCACACCCTTGGAAGACATCTTGGCCTGCCCGCTTGCAAGGTCCTCTACGAGGTAGCACTTGCTGCATAGGGCGATGGCCCGTTTGCCTTCTTTCAAAAGCTTAAACAAGCCGGGCTCTCTGCCGCTCCACTTGTCCCACGCCAACCAAGTCTTCTTCTCAGCCTCGAACTGGTTGCGAAGTTCTGGCTGTATGGCCTCCTCCAGTGTGTCGTGTGCAAGGGCGAAGTACATGCTGTCCGTGCCCATCTGGATGAGCTCGAAGTCACGCCTGTCGAGGTAGTAGTCCAGGAAGTTATAGTAGAACTCCAGCATGCGGAGCTTGGCAAGCTGGTACACAGCGATGCCCACTTGGAAAGGGCGGCTGATTGTGACCTTTGGCTTGCGCAGCTCGATCTTGTAAGCGTCTCCGATCTCTTCGAGGTCTTCGAAAAAGGCCGAGCGGAGATTCTTGTCAACCTCGTCCTCGTCCCTTGTGTAAACCGTTCTTGTCTGGCGCTCCACTGCTTCGATGAACTTACCGTAGCGGCTGTTGTCCAGGAGCTTGAACACTTCTGCGAGCAAAGCCTTCTCCTTGTCAGCGTCGCCTTTCCTTCGGTTGTCGGCCACTTCGTTCACGAACCAGTCGAAGATCTTTTCGGGCACGTAGTCGATAGTGCGGTAGACTGCCCCGATCTTGAGTCTGCTGAAGAGATACCAGTGCAAGAGAGGCGCGTAGATCAGCATCGTTTTCCCTGACAGCACACCCAGCAGCTTTTTCTGGTTTGGAAAGCGAGTTCGGCCACTTTCTTGGAGGTAGTCGTGCATATGCTGCGGAACGCAGTCGTTAGGCACTGCTTGATTGATGAAGAGTGGTGGAAACTCTTCGAGCTGCTCTCACAACTCTCGGGGGACTTCGATGTCCACTTCCGCAAACCCGAACCACATGCCTGTTCGCACTTTCCTCGCAAAATCTTTCGCAGCCTGCTCTGGTTCATCGTAGTGTGCAACTCTCTCTTTGCCGCAGGGCATTTCCTTGAGCATCGTGCTTGGGTAGAGGGAGTTCGCATCGAAGCCGAGGATGTGCTTCGTGATTCGCGCCAAGTCGTATTTGTGACAGGGATGCTATTTTCGCCACGCACGTGCTTGCAGGTCAACACCAGGCTTGGACCGCCAACCACAGCCTCCTTCAGCATGGCGTAAGCTTCAGGGCCAGGGGCGTATAGTGCTGGAGGACGTATTGTATCGATACACCAGGCAAGGAGACCGCGTCTTTGCAGATGTCTACCCCGAGCCCGGTGTAGAAGGACTTCATTGTTTGGAGAGCTTCGAGGAAGAGAGACACGTCCAGATTGTTGTAGTACTCCAGCCAGTCTCCGAAGGTCTTCATGCCCCGCTCATGGAAGATGCGCCTACACTCTTCGTACTCCTTGGGAGATAGAATGAAATCGTTTTTGAGTTCTGAGTACCAGAACCAGTATGGCGGGAGACCAGGGCAGTCCAGCTTGTCAGCGCGCGTTACTGGATTGCCCTTGCGGTCAATGTAGACCTGTTCATACCGCTGGTCAAATTCGGGGAAGCATTCCACGCAACCGTGCCAGTAGCAACCCTGGAACTCAAAAACTGTCTTGCTTTCTGGGTGGTAGCCGTCGACTGAGTAGCCACAAAGGTATCTCTCACCGCCATGGCCACATCTGTGATGCTGGATGTGAATGCCTCTCTGCTTTGCCTCCCACTCCAGCCAACAAGTAGCCTTTTTACCGAAAGTACCTTTACACTGTTGGAGAAAAAAGGATGAGGTGATAAGTGATCTACTACTCTGGGAACCAAAGCACGGCGCAAGAAAGAGAGGAAGACCAGCATTAACATATGTAGACCAGCTGCAAAATGATACTGGTTTGAGCATTGCTGAACTGAAGAACATCATGGAAAACCGGAAGGAATGGATGAAGCTAGTTAATGGAGTTCGAGTTCGCTCGAAATAAGCAAGTAAGCAAGCAAGCCTTCGGGGTAAAAGGCTTTCTCGAAAGCAGACTCAGGAGAGAGGATACGTTTCCCGGGGCAGACGGTTTTGGTTTGGCCCCGAGTACACCTCTGGGCGTGGCGCGTTAGGTGACAAGCTTGTGTGAACCTCGCATCGCACTCGATACAAGTGTAGTTGTTTGTGACTTTGTTGATGTTGGTGATGAAGAAGGAGTGGCCATTACGGATGCCGATAGTCATAGTT